ACCATTGATTTAAAGTTTTTTTGCGTCATTTTTTTTGGTGATCTAATCTTGTGTAATTACGCTATATTGATTGCGCTGTGACGAGGATTAAGTTATAAGTGGCAAAAATTACCTAACCATAACCAACATCTACATTAAGCTTCTACAATACATCAAAATAGGGGTTTTTAGGGTTTTAAAATTATTTTCAAATGCATAAATACCCGTAATAAAAAAAAATTTAGCTTCCTTGACCCAAAATATAATATTATTTTATTATTACACAAACGGTCGCCTCATGATGTTGCATAATACGCGCAGACGCGTAACCAATTCTTTTGTTGTGTGATGCAACCTTACATTTTGGATTTGCTTTTTTAGACTTTCCTGAGCTCAGAGTAATGAGCAATCGGAAAATCAAATTGCTTGAAATGGAACAACCATGTATGAGAATTTTGTGAACACTGGGTGGCATTATTTACCAATCATATTTTTTACCATAATTTTAGCTGTATCAGTACAGAAAAGTTCAAATCGGTTACTATCGATATGGTACCCAGAAGATATTGTAATAAGGACAATGTGCATTCCCTTTATAACTTCTATATCAACCCCTGTTATTTCAGAGAAAATTGCAGAGTTCTCAAATGCTCTTCTCAAAGCCATTGCAAGCGATATAGTGGCGAGGAGGTGTCGCTTTGTGTTGTGTTGCACTTTTTTTAATTAGAAAACGAATGTGTATAATTAGTATATTTTTTATTTTGTAATATTTATTTTATTATGTAATTTTAAATATTTTATTATGTAATATCAAGTTTTACAGTTTGCATTTTGACAATACCTCCTCAATACCTCCTTAATTTTCATCAATACCTCCTTAATTTTCATCAATACCTCCTTAATTTTCATCAATACCTCCTTAATTTTCATCAATACCTCCTTAATTTTCATCAATAGCATTTATATACCGTTTTATAAAGTCTTTTATTTGCTAAAAGATTTTAAAATTTTCTTAGAATATTAGCCTGTGTGGCCGAGAGGTTAGCGAACCGAAATTCCAAAGCAGAGCACCGAAGTACAATTCCTTAAGTTGGAACGTTTTTTTTACTTTGACTCTTTTTTGATTTTTCTAAAATACAAAATAAAGCACTTTTGAACTATAAATTTGAACTATAAAGCACTATAAATTTATTTAGTTTTGCATTTTAAATAACATATTTTAAAAAAAAAGCAAGCTGATAAACTTGCCACGCGGCTGCCTAAACTTTTTTGAACACAGTAAAGAGGTTTGAATAATATGTTTTTATTAAAAGAACATAATTAAAAATTTTAATTTTTTGTATAAAAAGCAAATCATTTTTTTAAATTTATTATTTTTAAAAATTATAAAAAGGTAAAATTACCTAATATTAAGTTAATAAAAAAATTTAAAGTTTTATAGCTATTTTACCACGTCCCCGTTAAATATTCTAAACTGAGTGCACAATAATGACAGAATTTAAATAGCTATCAAAATAGTATTATACTTCATGTTTAACTGGAAATATTATGCATTGCAAACAATTTAAATACAGTTTTTATTTTATTTCTTTAATGCTGCTTTGGTACTCTACCAACTATCATAAGTTTAATTGTAACTTTTCCTTTTTTTAACTTGATTACGTTTTTTAGATTAATCAAATGACGTGCTTGTTCAATATATACATGCAATCAAAAACTATTGAAAATTGTTATGTTTTGTTAATTTGTTAATAAATGTGTAAATAAAAATATATTTTGTTTTACAAAATAAATAATTATTCGAATGACATTACCCTTTTAAATAAATACTATTTTTTATTTAACTATTTTTTTTTTTAACTTTTGCACTAATAGATAATTTAATAAAATTCATAAGAATAATAAAAACGCTAAAGAGGACAAAACTACATAAAAGATGCACCAATAATGACTGTAAACGTGGACCGACGTGTCGAAATTTTAAATCTTAGGTTTCAAGAGAAGATTGTCTGGAAAAATATAGCATTTAAAAAAAAATGTTTTTTTTCATGTAACTATTTTTAACGTTAATTTTTGCACTATGAGATAATTTAAAATATATATATATTTTCTAAATAGTTTTAAAGCAAGGATTAGAACTCCGACCTTTATTCGGGATTCTAGAACCCCGGGGTTCTAAAACTCTGACTGTATGGGGTTCCAGAGAATTGGTTCTGGAACCCCTATTGCAAAATAGGGTTCTGAAAACATTGGGTTTCTAGAACCCCATAAGCCGGGGTTCTGAAACTATGGTTCTGGAATCTTTCTGCGGCCCTGTTTGGGCTAATCACTCTTGAACTATACAGAACTAGCTGTATATAATATTGCGCTAATAATACATATGGTATATAATATTGCGCTAATATTACATATAGTAAATAATATTGCGCTAATATTACATATAGTATATAATATTGCGCTAATATTACATATAGTAGCTGTATAATATACATAGCTGTATAATCCAGAACTTTTTGAAATGATGAAAACCTGTATGTTTGATGGACCAAGTGGATAATCGATGGGTTTAACCCTATAACTCTTGGTTATCTGAAAAATACCAAGCGCACATTTATGTTGCTTGAATGCCTATTAAGTCAGTTAAGTATTTATACAAAAATGTCAAAAAAAAATGGGTCGTGATAGTGCTAATAATCTTAATTAATAAAAATCTTGACCATGATGAAATAAATACATATTTAGACTGTAGCTATAGATCATTCAGCACAGCGTAACACTTATCTAACCGCTGGGTTTAAATTGAATGTTGAAAATAATAAAGCGCGACACCATTCTTATGTTCAAATTCCGTATCACTTTGTTTTTGATGGTAAAAATTACAAGTGGAAAATAAGACAAAGAGGCAGTGATAAGGTGATTGTTCGAATGTATAAAGTTAATCGTACCAACGAAGTATTTTTTCTTAGATTGTTTTTGCATCTAAAAGGTGCAATGTCTTTTGAGGATTTGCGTATGGTTCTTGATACTTCAATGATATCAATTAGGCTTATTGAAATTTACATTTTTTTTTTAATTTAATTAGGTTTATGGAAATTTATTTAATTAGGAAGGAAAACTAACTAAGTTTATGGAAATTTACATTAACTGAAGCTATTGCAACTCGCTAGCCTAAACAAATTAGGCTGCTAATTTGTTTAGACATTCGAGTTGAGGTAAACGAGTTGCATGGATGGAAATATAAGCAACTCTTCTTAAAAATGGATGAACGTTGCATAACTTATTCAAACTTCCTGTGCTAGCTTTGGAAAATAGCACATATAATGTAAATCTAAATTCTATTTATAGTGGATTCTTGAAACAAGTAAGTTTGTATTTACTTGATGAAGCATCTATGATCACAAACATGCTTTGAGTGACATTGATAAGTTATTAAAAGATAATTGTAATAATATGTTTTCTTTTAGTGGTAAAATTACTCTTATGGGTGGAGACTTTAGACAAATACTTCCGGTTATGAAGAGAGGTCGACCAGCAGAAGTTGTAGAATCATGTATAAAATGTTTTGAACATTGACAATACGTGCAAAGGTTCTCAGTAATTGAAAATATGTTGATTCAGATAGGAGAAGAGGAGTTTTATCAATTGTTTCTAAAGATTGAAAGTGAAACATTACCTGTCAAGCCTAAAATTAAAAAAATTGCACTGTAAACAATAATACGCCTGCAGAACAAATTTTGGAACTGATAGAACCTTGTGAGCCTCTTCTGCGTATATTTGGAGTGTTAAGTATATATAAAATGAACTTACACAAAGTTTTATTTCCTAAAATATTTCATATTAATATATGTATTAATTTGAATATTTACATACAATATGAATAGAATTTCATATTGTATATAAATATTCAACAAAATTTTAAAAATAACAACTTTGTTGTCCCAAAATATAATTCAAAACTAACTTCATATTCAGTTCTTTCTCACGATAAAGAACTGAATATGAAGTTAGTTTTGAATATGACCTTACTTGTGGAAAATGTTTCCCAAGATTGTAAATACACATAAAACTCGTATAGAGCATTTTAAAAATAAATCAAAACAGGCATTCTTACGTATGGATTTTAATATATCCGATTTATATAACTCTCAAACGGTAATATAAAATATTTTCGTAATAAATTTACCTTACAGCAAAGCACCTTTTTAAAATTGTTAAAAAATACTCCAAAACTTTGGAGGAGCGTATGCTTCAAACAATAACATGGTTTTCTCAGAGCATAGATTTGATATTAACAAGCATATTTAGAATTATCAATATAAAAAAAAGGTGTAAATACTTCGGCGATTTTAATTAAATTTTAAAAAGTTAAAAAAAATTATTAAAAAATTTATTGAAAGTAAATGGCGATCATAGGCGATCACACGTACTTAGTACGTACGTACACGTACATAGTAATACGTACGTACACGTACATAGGCGATCACGCGTACTGATAACAATACACGCACAATTAGAGTTTCCATGATACTTATTTGGCATATGAAACTTTTTAAAAACAGATGATACAAAGAATGTTAAAAATATGTTTTGATGGGACCATCCTTATTTTGTTATACATATTTTTGCATTTTAATAAAATTTTGTAAACTATCTTCATTCAAAAAAGCTTTTATCAATCTAATAATTAAAGCTCCGTTAAGTTTAACAAAAAGGTGCATATACAACTGCAAAACACTTATAGTAATTAAGACGCTCATGCAGGGCCGTCGCGAAGAGATTTTAAGCAGGGTAGAGGGGGGTGTCAAAAAAAAGTAGGTTCGCCGACTATGGTCGGAAAAATATTTTTTTCCGATCAAGTTCTAAATTAAAAACAAACAAACAATAAAATTATAAAAGTTTGTTAAAAGCTTTATGTATATATATATATATATATATATATATATATATATATATATATATATATATATATATATATATATATATATATATATATATATATATATATATATATATAAGATTTTTTGCCGTTTACAATATAAATATAAAAAAGAAGTATTTAACTTTAATTATCAATTAAGAGAACTTTCTGCTTGGATGATATTCTCCATTTCTTCCATAGTTATACGTCGTTTAGGTTCACAAGAAGAGGGGTCTGGAAAGTAATTTGCTCTTGTTTTTAAATAAGTGATTCCATCTTTCCAATTGTCCGGCCAGTTTTTTATCATATAAAAAGGTATAGGACACACTGAAACAATGACTAAGAAGGCAGCAAGTACTTGAGCCCATATGGGATAAACAAAGTTCTTTGACCATGATAATGTGCCTTCGCTTATTGCTGAATCCAAAGGATCCTATTTTAAAAAGTTAAAGAGTTTTAAACATTTTAAAAAACATTTTAAAAACGTTTAAACAATTTTCCTACAAAATTTTTTAAACTTTGGTCCGTAATCCAGTTGCTTTTTTTAAACAAGTAAAAATATTTTAATGCTGTATTAAAATGGTTTATCGACCGACTTGCGTATGCTTAGCTATGCTCGCTGTATTTTAAAAGTATTAGCATTTAAACTAAAATTTTTTATTAGAATAAGAGTTGCGAATTTATATGACTTAAGTATGATTAGTAAAACAAATTGCAACTGTATATCCTATTGGTTAGGGTGCCAAGTAGTAAGTATAATTTTAATCATGACTTTAAAAAACCAAGGTTATTAGCGAATCCTTTCAACATACTTTTTCTGTTTATATTCGCGATCTTCAAAATAATTTTTCAACTCTAGCAAAACTCACCTAATTTAAAAAATTGTCAGGTACTTCGAAATGTACAATAATAAATTTGTATTACTAAAACCTGATCAGGTGTTTTATTTTTAGTATTAATTAGTGCAACTCGTATAAGAAGATCGTACCAATATTTTTATGCCCAAATAACAGAAATTGTCAAATGTAATTTTCTGCTTCAGTTCTTTAATATGGCTTTTATTAAGAGTTCACAAGCTCTATCGACCACCATTTTCTTCTCGTATTCTTTGTATTTTGTGTTTCTATTTTTCTTTTAACTCTTGTTTATTATTCTAAATCTCTGATGCAAGTAATAAAATGAAATCCTTCATTCCTCTGATCTAATAATTCCAGAATAATATAAAATCTGTTTGTACAACTTTTTGGCATATTAATACAAAAAAATAATTTAGTAGTATATATGTATTTGTAATATCTTAGCAAGATCTACACATATTATCTTTCAGTATAATATTTTTAAGGAATATAGGTAATGCTTTTCCCACCCTGGAATTCCAATATTTAATTACTTATCTAAAATATTAAATATGTAATAAATATTCATTTCATTACTTTATAGCAAATAATAATTAAACTAAACAATAACCGGAAGTAAAAAAAATTAAGATAGTTGATCAATTTTATAAAAAATAAATTTTTACATAAGCACTAACCCAGCCGGCATTTGGTCCTAAAAAGACTTTTTATATATACATATTCAGTCTTTATATATACATATTCAATTTTTTGTGTACATACATGTCATACAAATACTTTTAAAGGAACAAACAAAATCTGGATTTTTAGAGAAACCATGATCATCCTCTTAATTAATATAATTTAATTTATAAATTTGTATTAACTTACATTTAAGAAATTTATGTAAAAATGTTAAACTTTATTATAATTCTTATTATATTGTTTTTATATTCTTAGGTCACATGACTAGGCAGTCTTCTCAATTTTCTGTCTGTCTTGTATTTTGAATTTTAATTCAAAAACATTGAAGGTAAAGAATTTAATTTTATGTAATTAATTTCAGTAACTCAGTGAATCACTGTTATAATTAATTATTACTAATTATACAATACTTACTAGAACAGAACAAAATAATAATTATAATTAAATAGGGATTAGGAACTGATCGAAGAATAGTAACAAGAACCACCAGAATCAAAAGGTGAGAAACTTGACAATCTGTTTAATATCAGCCATGTCAATTCCAATGAACTAATAAAGAACGAGGAAGATCAACGATTTCTCAAATTGCAGCAAGAACCAAGAATGGTTGGTGCATTGGGTTTGTTGGCAACAAAACCTTTCAACGTAAAAAAAAAAGTGCAGAACGTAAAAGGCGAACTTGAGCGAACAGCAGCTTTGGCGGTACAACAAAATGTTACAGCAACTGAAAGAGAAAAAGAATGTGACAATGATGAAGACAATACAGCAAAATTAAAATCACTATTAGGCTCCTCCTCAGATGACGAACAGCAAGAATCCGCAGATGAACTCATTGTCAAACATATGATACAGTCCTCAGAATTAGGGTCGGCATTAGGTAATGTCGACCTAGAAGTGTTTGAGGTCGTCAAATTAAAGTACAAGTAGTGACAAAAAATGCAAATGCAGCGAGATGATAACTCCAAAAGTGTCAGCAGTATTAGACAGAACAAATATAAGTATTCATACATCAACAATGATCATAGTATCTCTGATCAACGAAATAGGTGGCTCAACGTCGTCATCAACATTTTTAAAAAGCCTAATTCACCGTAAACGATTTAAATTCCGCCGTGAAGCTGCTAAGCAGACCAAGGAGAACTTTCAAGCCCGCAAATGTGTAGTACACTGGGATGGCAAGCGGCTCCCTGACTTCACAGGAGTTAATACCAAACCAAGTGAATAGATTGCCAGTTTTAATATCTACTCTTGATGACAGAAACACAAATGGGTCTAACAAAGCTGGATCAGGAAAATCAGCAATATATACATATATATATATATATAAATATATATATATATATATATATATATATATATATATATATATATATATATATATATATATATATTGCTGATTTAATATGTATATATATGTATATATATATATATTTATATATATATATACATATTAAATCAGCAATATATACATATATATATATATATATATATATATATATATATATATATATATATATATATATATATATATATATATATATATATATATATATATATATATATATATATATATATACACACATTAAATTAGCAATATATATATATATATATATATATATATATATATATATATATATATATATATATATATATGTATATATATATATATATATATATATATATGTATATATATATATATATATATATATATATATATATATATATATATATATATATATATGTAATATATATATATGTAATATGTATATATATATATATATATATATATATATATATTACATATATATATATTACATATATATTTATATATATATATATATATATATATATATATATATATATATATATATATATATATATATATATATATATACATATTATATATATTACATATATTTTATATAATTTTGCTTCATTTGAGACCCAACATACATACTTACGAAAATCTTTTTTTAAAAATGTTTTTCTTTATTTAACAGATTTTGATATTTATGCATAATTTCTTATTTTTTAATTTATGAATAATTTACTTTGTGGTATGGTAATAAGCTTTGTACCTTTAATCACTTACCTTTTAACAATTGGATTTAAATTTGCATCTTTTATTTCTCAAAATTCTTTAAATAATTCAATGTCATTTTTGTACTATTAAATGATTTTATATGATTGGCATATGCAATTTTGAATGGTGTTTCACTTATATCGATGTAGAATTTATTGACAAAAGTGTTAATAGGATCATCAAATACTCCCATTGAAACATCAAACCGCTTGATATTTTAATCCAAATTTAATTATTATTAACCCTTTTGCGAGTTAAAAACAGCTATATGAATGGGTGTAAAATAAAGAATTTATAATCATGAACAATTAAAAGGGTATAAAATAAAAATCACCTGTCGGAATATAACAAATGAGATATTTTTTGTTAAAGAATAAGTTTTCAGATAATTAAAAAAAGAACATTTTTCTTAGTCATATGATCAAAAATAAGCCATATTGAAATAAACAAAAATATATAATTTCATAATTTAATCTTAAATAAAAAATTCATAAACATTGTTTTTAATATTAAATAAGATAATAATATTATTTTTTAATATTAAATAATATTAAATAAGACATTTATAGCGGTGATTAAACAAAACAAAAAAACGATATTTAACTTTTTGTTAGGGCACCCACAAACAGTAATTGTCAGTAAAGACTATATGACCTTTATTTAGAAATGGTCGCATCAGCTCTACTGAGCTCATGGGACTATTTCTTTCAATGTATACCAGTAGGTATATATTTGCTTAAAGGCATTGCAAAAATTTTGACATCATCATACACCCCAGTTTATAAATTTATAAATTTTGGGAAAATTCCCCCCCTCCCCTCCCTTTATTAGTTTTTACTTGTTATCAATAATGACAAAAATATCAGTGAAAATCGGCCTTAAAAATAAGAAAATAATTATTTCACTCACTGGTAAAAACAAAAACTTTCAGTGTAAACAGGCTTTAAAAATTGCCGACCAGGTAAATCTCGATTCGACGAAAACGAGCTTTTGGTTTATTACTTACCAAAGTATAAAACTTATATTAGCATATGCCCTATTTAATTATTATAAAACAGATGTTAGAAAATGCGCATTTGACAGCAAGCCACGCTAAAATTGTAAAAAATATTAGTTTGGATTTATAAACTGAAATTTTTTATAAAAAATACCTATATTGTAACCTAAAAATTTCCCTCCACCACCTTTTAATTAAACCCCCCTCCCCCGTTTATTAAACCTGGACTAAAATCCTTTCCCTCCCCCACCTTGTATTAAGGACTCAAGAGTAGTTGGTCTTCTTAAAGAACAAAGACCTTTATCTAAAAGATAAATATTCAATTAAAAAAATAGGTTTACATCTTAACTATGTTTAATTCTTTTTTCAGGTGGTTGTAAACAATCTGTTTTATGCAACATTTTTGTCAACTCATCTTTTTTAAAAAGAACTTCAAGAAGCTTAGATGTTTTAGCCAATTTCTCATTTCCTGAAGTCAACATGTTGGCCACTTTTTTTGACTGCATGCTTGAATCCTTCATAGCAAAGGATAGCTTAACATTTACATCATTGCTTACATCAAGCTTACATCAAGCTTAACATTTACATCATTGATTTAGACTTTGGCTATCTCTTTTTCCGTAATTAATTAATTTTCTAATTTTATCTGATCATCCAGTTTCTGTCTAATTGATTTCTTTTTTTCTTCATTCTTTTTTATTTCTTGATTCCTGAAGTAACTTCTTCCTTTTTTATCTTCTAGCACATTTTTTTTCCTCTTATCCTCTTGGAATATTATGCAATCCGAGTTTGCTTTTCTAGCTGCATTAATA